TTGGCTTGAACTGCTTGTCCAAGGCTTCCAGGTATCCTTTGGCTGTCTCACATTTAGGGATTGCTCCCCTAATGCTTCTGGTGATCCTTTGTTGTATAAGCAGAAGAGATAAGCTGTTGCTCCACTCCCATAATTCATACCTTTCTTTTGCCTCCTTATCATTTGAGGCATCATCTGGTCTAGGAGGCTTTTCATACCTTAAGGCATAATCGAAGTCCATACAACTGAGCTGCAGCAAAACATCATCTCTCCAGTCAGCGTAGTTAGTGCTACCATCTAAGATGATTTTGTTGCTCACATCAGTCATGATTCTAGGGGCAGCAATTGGAACTGCAAATTGGAAACAGACAAATGAACAAACAAACAAGCTCACAAGTTAGAATTTGAGGCAATCACAATTCACTGTGCCATGTATGTATGCTTAAATGAATAAAGCATACAAGTAAATACGTATCACTAATGTCTACCTATGGGCAAAGACATTAGCATAGCATGTATTTATCTCAAATTGATGAAACTAGAATGCATTTGCATTTTCTAACACCTGTGGGCCACTTAGAAAATAACAAGGCCATTCTATCCCACCCTAATTAAATATGTAATTATGAGATATTTACCTGTGGGCAAAGATAAATCATAATTACACATTTAATTACAATTGATATTTCAAATCCATATGTGATTAATTAGTGCATGCGACATAATTAAGGATGCTGTGGCTACTCCTTAGAAGATGCATGCTAATCACAAATATCATAAATGTGCATTTAAATTCCAAATATGCACAACTTAATGGAGAATTTAACAAAGGAGAAAACTTATATCCAGTTCATTAGGTCCAGTCCAACCAGTTCTCCAATTAGCATGTGCCACCTGGATTCACCAAACACCTCATATTTCACAGCGTCTTCTCCTCCGTTAACGAGTCGCAACGTTACTCACCTCCTCCTCTTTTTTTTTTTTTTGGGAATAACAAGGTAAGCTTGAGCTTGAGAAATTAACAAATCAAAACAGATTACATCAGGGTAGGAGATCCAAGATAGCATTACCAAGATCTTGTGAAACTTGAGCCTCACAGAAGGCAGGAGATTCCTGTAGATACAATCATTTCCTAAATCTACAATACTATTTGCTACTATGGATCTCTCCTCCCTATGTCCCTTCACAGGCAATGATTGTGAAGAAATGATGGCAGCCGATGAGAAATGGCGATAGTGGCCAAGTAGTTGCGGCGGCGGTGAAGAGAGGGCAGTGGCAATGCACTCGGCAAAGCAGATTGTCACCGAGGAAGATTCACAAGCAAAGGACGGCAGCAATTTGTGTTATGGATTCACGATCAGTGAAGAGGAGTGACAATCGTGATTTGCAGGTATTGGGATATCAGTGGCCTGAGATTCTGAGGAGGTAATTGGTTTTAGAATTGTGATTGCCGTCAAATCTTGCTCAAGTCTCTCTTTCTAGGTTCTTCCCTTCTCTTGCTTCATTATCATCTTTCTTTAATCTTGAAACCAATTGTTGAAAGAGTTGAAGACCTTGTTTTTAGTCCAAAGATGTTTAGGTACCCATGGTTTTGAAAAATCAAAGAACTGCCTTCATGCATAAAAATTTCATTTCAGTATAAATCTAAAAGCAAACTTCTCTTATACTAGCTAGCCATCCTCTTTCAATTTGTTGATAGAGAGAAATGAAGCACCGTCTTTTAATCAAAACAGGAGTGAAGCACCACTTTGATTTGTTTTGTCGTGACTCGTGAATGGAGAATCAATTGATAGCTGCTGAGCATTGTAATTAATTCCATAGTAGCAAATAGAATTGTAGATTTAGGAATGTGCGACTGGTTAGTGGAGGGAGACGGTGTGAAATGGCGAGGTGTTTAATTAATCCAGGTGGCACATGTTGATTGGTGAACTGGTTGGATTGGACCTAATCAACTGGATGTAAGTTTTCTCCTTTAACAAATCAATTTAATCAACAAAAGTAACTAAATAATTTAATTTAAATTCTCCCACTATTTCATGCACCCCAAAAAAAATTTAATAAATTAATTTCAATACATTTCAACTTCAAAAGAGTTTTACAAAATTCAAATAGTTAATTTAATTGCCCAAAAAACATTATCCAAAATAGGCAATTAAATTAACAAAACAAATTAAATTTTGTAAACATTTTCCAAATGTCAAAATGTTAAAGAAATTAATTATCCTCAATTTGAACAATTATGGAGCACAAAACAGAATTCAAAGAAACATATTACAAAACAAAATTAATTTATTTTGTACAAATACATTCTAAAAAATTAAATTAAATGGCCCAAAACAATCTTCTGGAAATAAAACCAAATGGCCCATACTTACGAGTCCAAACAGAACCCAAATAATCAATCCAGAAACGAAACAAAAAAGTTAAGGCCCAAAACGAAGGTCCAGAAAACAAACAGAGACCAAAAATAAATTTCCATGCAAAACGAGCCCAACAAGGAGCCCAAAACGTTACTGTTCTGAAACTGTGCACAATTTTTTTTGGGTGCAAAGTGGCCCAAAATAAGAGCCCAGACCGAGAGGGAGAAAAGAGACAAAAACCCAGAAAACTAAAGCCCAAAGCTCTCGGCCCAGTTCGTCATTAAAATAAAATTTTTTTTTCTCAGCCCAGGTTGTCTTCCTCATGGAGTCGGGTTAGGTGAACCCGACTCCCAACTAGAGTTGGGAATCAGGGCCGGCCCGGCCCTCCAGGGTTGGCCCTTCAGGGCTAGTGGGCTTAAAAGGGCCGGCCCTCCAGGGCTGAAATTTTAAAAATACCCCAATTTGCTAGGCCCGGCCCTTAAGCTACAGGGCCAGGGCCGGCCCGTGGGCTTTTGGCCCGTTTAAGAAAAAATACTATTTTTTATATTTATCATAGTTTTTTATAAAAATATAAAAATAAACCAATTAAATTATTAATAAAAAACATAAATATGAATAAAATTAAGTCACAAATATAAAATATCATCATATATAAATATTCATCAACATCTAAGAACATCTAAAACATTTATTAACAAGATAACAACATCTAAAAGTTTTATCTATAATACAATTGTACAATAAATAAACACTATCATTAATCTTTTGAAACTTCATCATCACTATAATTAATTACTTTTCTTTATAAGTATGCTTTTCTTTCGTAACAAAAATATCAAGTTTTTCTTCTTTATAAGAATTTTATTTTTAAATTTTGCAATCTAACTATTATTTTACTTTAATGTGAAAAACATTATTGTTGAAACTCATGAATTTCTAATTCAAATTATAGAATCACAAGTTATATAAGTATAAAAATATTCTATTATCAAATATATATAGTTTAAAAATATCAACGCATATAATATAAACCAAATCATTATTAAAGTCCAAATTAACCCATTCTTTAAAAATTTAATTGGATAAATTATTGTCTAAAACTAAATTTAATTTTAAAATGATAATAATAACTAAATATTTGAAATATTATTAATAATGTAAAAAATTAATAACATTAATATTATATAAAAAATTTAAAAAATAAAAAATTTATAAAAGGGCTTAAAAGGGCCGGCCCGCGGCCCTCCAGAGCCAGCCCTCCAGGGCTTATTTCTCATTTTAAGAGAAAAATATCAAGCCCGGCCCTCATAATTTCAGGGCCTAAACGGGCCGGCCCGATGGGCTCGGCTCGTTTTCCCGGCTCTACTCCCAACCCACACGCGACCCGGTTTGGTGGTCCTCCGCAGCCGCCGGCGTCTGCAACTTTCGGCCATTGTTTCTGGCAAACCAGTGGCCATTTTCAGGTGATAATAATGCCATTTTAAGGCTCTCTCATGGTGAAATTTTCACAGAAAGGTAATAAAAAGAATTCGAACACATCTTGATCAAAATTTTGAGCCAAAATGAAAACAAGATTTCGATTTTTGATGAACAATAGCAACGGCAAAATTGGGACCTCCATGGATGATGAAGTTGGCGACAAATTCATCGAAGGGATTTCATCTCTCTCATCGTATTAACCCAAAAATGAACTTAAACAATTAGAAAGGTAAATAACACAACGCATGTATGATTTTGGCTATGAAAATGACGGTAACAATGCTTATTTCTTTCCCATTTAAAACTCAAAATTTGCACAGATTCAGTAAAAATTCAAACTCAATGTAAACTGAATGAAAACAAATTTTGAACGGATCTTCGGATTTATCCGAATGTGGTGATGGTTCATGGGAGAATCAAAATTATTCTCCTCCATCCCATTCAGCCTGTAAAATCAAAAATAAAATATCCATATCAAATTAAATTAACCAAATCAAAAGATGCTCTCAAAATGATTAAAATTTTCGAAGTAGAAAATTAAACAAATTTAAATGAGCATCATAAAAGAGTAAGGTGAGGTGAATCAAGAAACTATGCTCTGATGCCACATGTTAGCAAACAACATATATATACATATATTATTCAAACAATCCAAATTATATACATATATGTATGTGATACTCAAAAGAGTTACAGCGGAAGACTTATAAATACCTCTCGCCATTAGCTCAGTTAATTTGATGTAGAACTTGATCTGAATAATGACAAGCTGTGGATTGAAAAACACTATTAGAGAAAGAAAGAATGCAAGGAATCTTCCAGCTGGTGATTGGGCACAGTGATGGCTACTGGGATGTAGCCGTCACTAGTGGGGAACCCTCAGAGAGTGAGCAGAGAGATTAGGGTTTCGCTCCTGACTCAATGTACCGTATGTCATTTTCACTATCAGAAACTAACGTTAATTAATTGAGTCAATTCCCCATCTTGGACTAGGCCCAAAATGACTACGGGCCACACTCAGAAATATTTATTAATTATCCTAATAATATCTAAATAGTTATATATTAATAATAAATATCTCACAAGCATGACCTGACTTGATTCAGAAACGGAGAAGTATAAAATGATGTGTGTGTGTCACTTCCTAGATGCGCAAGATTTGATAAGTTTGATACGATCAATATGGGAAAACCTTCTTCCTTTGTCTTCCTCTTCTTACTTCATTGCTTCACGGTCGCCTTTGCTTCGATGCCTACAAACATTACTACTGACAGATTTGCACTTCTTGCCCTTAAGTCCTTCATCACTTCAAATCCATATGATTTCTTAGCTAATTGGTCAGTCTCTTCTTCTCCATGCAGCTGGGATGGTGTTACTTGCAATATTGGTCATGGAAGGGTTCATTCCCTAAATCTTAATGGCATGGAACTCAAGGGCACCATATCCCCACAACTAGGAAATCTCTCATTTCTTGTTGAACTTGATCTCAACACTCTTTTTGGACAAATCCCTAAAGAGTTAGGTGGATTGCATAGATTGAAACTATTCAACTTGAGTTACAATGACTTTCATGGGCCAGTTCCAACATGGATAGGAGATTTGTCTTCACTTGAGCAACTAAGTCTTCAAAATAATAGTTTTAATGGATTTATTCCATTATCTCTTTTCAATCTATCAAGGTTGGAGATCTTGGATTGGAATTTTAATCTCATTGAAGGGGTCATTCCACTGGAGGTGGGCAAACTGGAGCGACTCAAGATTTACGACTTAGTCATAACAAACTTTCAGGAATCATTCCCTAGACAATTTTCAACTTATCTTTGCTTGAGTTGTTTAATTTATCCTGTAACACTCTGTCACGTATGTTTTGGATTACTCAATAATTATAGTTGTCTTTGTTCTAGACAAGTGTATTTGGTTAGCAGGATCGTATTCTTGAGTAATTTGAGTTTGTCTTTTTTTATTTATTCACTTTTTTATTTTTATGAATTTTCTTCTTAAATTTTGCCAACATATTTCGATTCTTTTTTCAAAAGAAAAAAAAACCATTTGTCATCCAATTCTTGAAACGTAGTGTATAGTCACAATATTTGGGGTGGGGGGGAGGAAGAACACTGTTATAATACTAGTCTAAACAGACCTAATAAAGGCTTATTATCAGATTTTTGAAAATATATGTTTATTATTCTGTCATTAAAAAATTTTTGAAGGTTTTTCCCCCCCCAAAATGAGTAAGCCTCACAAGTCAACGATCATATTTAGAGGATTTAATTTGATTTGGATAATATAAATCAAATTTTAATTTTATTATTTGTTAGCGATTATTATTATTTTTTAAAAAATTGTAAAGTTAACAAACAGAATTTCCCTGAGAATCTCCCAGCAAACGTGTTTTGATGGGAATGATGAATCCATAGTTGCTAATTTTAGGTGTATTTTATCATTTAATTGTGTTACTTTTCAAAAGTGCACACGTCTTACTAATAAACTAGAAATTTCTTCCTCGTGCGATGCACAGATTAGCATATTTGATTATATTTAAAATTTTAATAAACTGCATTATCTAAGACAGCTTAAAATTTACTTCTAATAGGAATATATTTTTTATTTATTTTAATGGATTTTGAATTAGAGATGCAAAATTTATGGAGAATAGATGAAAATTTGAAATTAATGATTTATTTCTCCATTTAAGCCTTGACATACTATTTAATTATGATACCCTTATTTAAATTAATATATTCAAATTTCAATTAAGATATTATTCAAATTCAAAGTTAATTATTAATTTTTTTATTTGAATTATTTATTTGAAATTTCATTTATTTATAATGTTTCTCATTTAATTCAATATATTCAAATTTTAATTAAGATATTATTTAAATCTCATTAATTGAATATATTCAGATCCTACAATTTCATACCCGACTCATTTTCAAACGAATCAGGTATTACAAGTTTTCAAAAATATAATTGATGATGGTCTCATGTACGTAAAATAACTCGTCATACCTGAAAAATTGTTAGTGGCATTGCTTTCTTTTTCTCCCCTCATATTTCAAGGAGCAATTTCCAATGAGGCTGGTGAACTTTGACAAGCAGAAATATTGTATCTTAGAAAGAATCAGCTTTCTGGTCTAATTATATGATTAATTGTATTAAAAAAATTCTATTCCAGTATTTCATAAGATATTAGTGGTTAATGATTTTGCTGAATTGCTTTTAAAAACGTAAAACATGATACTTTCTTTTAATCCCAACATCTCTCTAGGGATCTATCTAATACTGTCCCCCCCCCCCCAAAAAAAACTCTCTGGAATAGGAATAAATAATTTTGAGCTGAGATTTTGTTCCCCATCATGTAGTTTATATCACAATTTTCACACACATGTAAAGGTGGGGTCACAAGTTGCTTCAAAAATCTTCAAAAATCAAAATAAAATAGAGTCATTAAAAAACAGGGAGCCGGGTGGAAAATAATCAGTTGGGATTTCAATGTTGTTTCTGGATTTTTATTTTTCATTTTCACCCTATATTCTATTTTCAATGGCAAGTTTTTCAGCTTTTCTTATTTTTTAAATATAGATAATCCATTAGAATTTAACAAACACACATAATCATTGACCTTAGAGTGTGCAATATTCGCAAATACCGTTTTTACTGTTTGTTTATTGAAATATTAAAAGGGCCCTATACAACATCACTTAGAGCAGTCATACGGAATTAAAAGGTTGAAGTATTTTTTACTTTTATGAATGATATTTCCATCTTGGATCGTTTGTAATTAGCTGTTTATGCTTATAGATATCCTTAAATCCGAATAATCTGATTATTTATATGTTTATGTTAGCTAAAAGTAAAACGAAAACTTAAAGTTACACCACTGGGAAAAAGAATATTGTTATAATATTAGTCCAAACAGATTTTTTTAAGGCTCATTATCAATCTTTGAAAACCAATGTTTATTATCATGTTATTGAAAAGTTTTTGAAGTTTTATTTTAGAAATGAGTAAGCCTTGCAAGCAACATGTTTGGAATTGGAACCTTTAATTTTAATTTGGATGATATAAAATATATATTAATTTTATTATTTATTATTAATTTTTTTAAACTCAATCTTATTTGTTGAATGAGACGAATGCAACTTACGTGATATATAAGAATTTCTCAGAATCAATAATCCTCCAAATCTAAGAAAGATAGCAAAAACAAATCTGAATTAGTCTAATCTAAATAACAGAATAGTAAACTAAACTGAAACATAAAACACTGTATAATGAATTGAAATGGTTTTTTTTTGGTGAACCATTTTTTTTAATAAGTATTGTTGTGTTTTATTATTTAGAATATAGTTATGTTATTTCTCATAGTTGTGCGAGTATATCTTTCAATATTTATGAAGTGAAATAATCATTTTCGCTTTATAAAAGTTGATATTGACATCTTGTTTACCATTTAATATTGGAAGGAGCCATTCCAAATGAGATTGGTGATCTTCAACAGCTTCATACAATGTCTTTCAAATAATCAACTTTCAAGCACTATCCCAAGATCCATATTTAATAGTTCAGTGCGGCAAAAAATTGATGTTGGAATGAATAACTTATCTGGGAGTCTGCCAATAAATGTGTGTTTTGGGCTTCCAAAACTCAAACTATTTTATATGGATGGAAATGATTTGTCTGGAGAAATACCCAACATTTGGCATCAATGCAAGGAATTGGTAGACTTACAATTGGGGCATAACAAATTCAAAGGAGGGCATATATCAAGTGACATTGGAAATTTGACCAAACTTGAGTGGCTATATCTTAGCAGCAACAACTTGCAAGGTAAGAGTTTTAATTATGCGGTTGTCTTAAATTTTGTTTTTACTATTTTGATAAGTCATTAATTTAATTTAAATATTACAAATTTAGTCAATGATAATTTTGCTAGATTAAAGACATGGAACTTGATGCTTTCTTTTAATCTCAAACTGGATATGCTTTCTTTTATACAAAATTTAATTGTCACACATGTCAAAACATGAAATAAAATATTTAAACTGAACAAAAATAAATTAATCAAAATTTGTAATTAACTTTCATGTGGTGTTGCATTCCTTCCTTGTCGGTTATTTCCCCCTCTATTTTGTTGTTGGCGGCAAGTTTTTTTTGAAATAGATCTAGTTTTATATTATCAATTAGAACATATCAGTGTTATTTTTCAAAATGAGTAAGCGTTGAACGATGTTATAAGAAAAAATATAAATTTTGTACCTTGTAGACATGACATGTAAATGAAATACATCATTAAAAAAAAAGTAGAAAACTATACTTTACTAATGTTATAAATTGCTAATACACATAAATATATTAATTCATTCGTATTGCATTGGAACAATTTTCTGGCAAAAAAAAATTGGAACAATTCTGTACTTTCAATTCTTGGTAAAATTGAATAACGCTCTTGAAGATAAAAATTTTCACTGATAATTTCTTAAGAATTATTTAATTTGAAATTAAAAGAAGCATCCAGAAAAGGGGGAAACGTAACAAATGTAGATTCATTATACATTATGTGGAACTTTTTTTTTTTTCCTTGTTAAGCAGATATACTTAATGTTTTGGAAAATTTTCAGATAAAGAAGTCTGAAATTATGATATTTTAATTTTCAAATAAATTGTTATCATGAGTGAAAGCTAAAATAAAAGAATGAACTTATGTTTTTTTTTTCTTTTTGCATTACAGTGTTACTTTTAATTTTAGTAACCACCTGGTTAGAGATTCAATCCCACCAACCCCACTGTCCTAGGCAAAAAAGATAAAATGCTTTGGCAAGGGCTTCCAAAGTTATTAAGAAAAAGGAAAATTTTTATAATTTTTCATGAATTTCAAAATTCTAATTTGATTTTTCTTCATTTTCTATAATTTTAAAGTATCACGTAACTGAATTGAAATAACATAATTTTATGTTTTTTTATCTGAAATTTTTGCTAATGAATTCTCACTAAAATTGTACCAAAAAATTCTTTCATGCAAAGATAAATTGCTGAAAAGATAGTCTAGTTCTTTATGCCGCACATCATTAATCAGAAAACGTACAAAAAATGATTTAGTCAAACTTAACGTACTGACCTGCGATTTTTTTCTTTTAACAAAATTTGCCTGTCACTTTTTAATACTTGTGCATCGATTAATCTGTACAACACATATATTCAAGTTTTTGGAATTAGTACGTAAGAAACGTGTATACACACACACACATATATTTATATATATTACCTATATGCAAATAACATCTTTTGTGTTTATTCCATTTCTATTTTTCAAAGTGGATGGGTGTTAGAAGTCTTGTAAAGAATTTATGTTCCTTTTAATTCAAATATAAGCATAAAATAACTCATGCAATTCAAAAAATTAGTTAAAATTAGTTAAAAATAGTAAATATATAAAATATATAACCTATAATCCTAAAACATCCTTATTTATAGTGAGGCTTAGTAAGAGCAAGGATGAGTGAAAAAAAAAAAAGGGTCAAAAAGATAATATGAGTGAGGCTTATAATTAATTTGGGAATAAAATTAACAAAATGCATTAAATGATCCAATACATCCGGAACGAAGCTTATAAAAAAAATCAGTCCCTCTTAAAGATTTGATGTTTAGATTTTTTAATCAGTAGGAGTATATCGTGGTAACGTTCAGTTATGAGTATTGGGCGTTAGGCTCTTAAAGCCCAGTAACTAGTGTACGTGTTTCTGTATAAATATGGGCCAATTACCCAGTGTTATACATGAATGAATCCAGTTCCCCTTTCGCCCAATAATAGCTAGATTTTGGTTCTCTCCAGTTTTTTTTGGCATCTCTTTACATTATATTTATATTTTAAGCATATTATACAAAAGTATTATAAATTGTTTTATTTTCCTATTTATTATAAATTGTTTTATTTTCCTATTTACAAGTCCATTTAGCGTTTTCACAAAGAGAGTTGTTAATGAATTATATTTAAATGCCAACCTCTTTGTAAGTATTAAAATTATTATTTCTTATTTTTCTTCTTTTATTTCCTTTTTTAATATTCTTCAATAATAAAATGACATTTTATCCGTTTGTTTCTTTATTGTCGTACATTTTTCTGGTGGGGGCTTAAAGATGGCTAATGATTTATAATCACAAAACAACAACGATTTTCTATTTTTTTTGGGTGCTATTTTCTTCATTTAGAGGAAAATAAAAATGAGATTTTTTCTTTGGTCATTTCATTTATTCATATTGTTCGTTCATATAATGGGACTTATATTAAACTTGTGATTACAATGCCAACATAAAAGAAAAGAAAGATAAGATCAATAACCGATGGGACCACTTGATATTTAAAATGTGTAAGACATTTTTTAAAAATTTTTTACTCTTAACTATCACATCATTTATACTTTGATCAATAAAATGACTTCACCATATATAATTTTTTCAGGAATGATTCCAAGTGAGATTGGAAAATTCACAAACCTCCAGCACCTTGATCTTCGCAACAACAATTTGCAAGGTTAGAATTTTAATTATATGACTGTCTTAGACCATGTGTGTATTTTTCTTTTGTTTTAATCTCAGGGATGAAAAAAAAATTTTAAAATTAGATTCTGTTTTTATTTTTTTCCATTGATTTTAAACAATCATGAGAAGGTCTACGTTCATAGGAAAAATGCTTAAAAAGAGCCATAACTTATTAACAAGTACTTGTGATGTGTGTGTTTGTCTGTTCATAAAATGTGATTTATCTATTTTTCTCTTTATTTGGAAAAAGACACATCTATTGGTGATGCTTTCTTTTAATCCCAAAAGTGAATATTGCTTTATACACACATACACACATGTTTGTAACATGCTTAGAGTGTGTTAATTGAAATTTAAACATATATACTCATGTCCCAATATATTCGTAATGTGCTTTGAACACATGGCACCAATTGGGATTCCTTCTTTCTGGTTTTTTTTTGTATTTGTATATATATTCAATGGCATGCTTTTTTCGTTTACTTTTGTTATAAACAATCCACTAGAATTTAATAAGCACACATAATTATTATGCTTAGAGTGTGTAATATTCACAAATACTATTTTTTTACTGTATGTTAATTAAAATTTTAAAAGGGCCCCATACAACACTGCATAGAGTCACACGGAATTAAATGCTGGAGTATTTCTTACTTTTACTAATGATATTTCTATCTTGGGTCTTTTGCAATTAGTTGTTTATATCTAGCGATTTCTTTATAATCCGAATATTCTGCTTATTTATATATTTATTTTAGCTTCTCAACATTAAAAGAAATAATTTTTGATGCATTGAAAACAAATATAACATACCATTTTAATTAATTTTTTGGTATAATTTTAGTGAGAAATCATTAGGAAATATACAAAAAAAAGTAGTCTAATGCTTTATGCCATACATGATTAATTGGAAATATACAAAAAAATTATTTAGTCAAACTTCATGTACTGATTTGCAATATTAAAAGGTAATAACACAAATATTCAAGTTTTTGGAAGTAGTACGTAAGACACATACATATACACATACACGTATTACTTCTATGCAAACAATTTAAATATATATTTATATATATATTACCTCTATGCAAACAATATCTTTTGTGTTTATAAATAAAGTATTCCATTTCTATTTTTTTAAATGGACGGAGTGTTAGAAGTCTTGTAAAGAATTTATGTTATTTTCGGTTCAAAATATAAGTATAAAATAACTTATGTAATTCGAAAAGTTAGAAAAATTGATTAAAAATAATAAATATGTCAAATATATAACTTATTGTCCTAAAACATCCTCATTTATGGTAAGGCTGATGAATGGGAGTCAGGATGAGTAAAAAAAGAAAAAAGAAAAAGAATGAGTAAAAAAAAATCAAAAAGATAATGAGAGTGGCTTATAATTAATTTGGGAGAAAAATTTAAAAAAATTGCATTAAATGGTCCAACAAATCAGGAACAAGCTTATTAAAAAAAAAAAAGTAGCCCCCCTAAAAGATTTGACGCTAGTATTTTCTAAGCAGAGGAAGTATTGGGCTTTAGGCTCTCAAAGTTCAGTCTCTAGTGTCTGTGTTTCTGTATAAGTATTGGCTAATTTTCCAATGTTATACATGAACCCAGTTCCCCTTCCACTAAATAATTGATTTTCGGTTCTCTCCAGTTTTTCCTATGTACTTTATATTATATCTGTACTGTATGCATATTATACAAAAATATTATAAAATTTTTTATTTTCCTATTTACAAGTCCATTCAGCGTTTTCACAAGAAAAGTTGTTAATGAATTATATTTAAATGCCAACCTCTTTACAAGTATTGAGATTATTATTTCTTATTTTTCTTCTTTTATTATATGAGTTCTTTTGAATTTCTCGTATCGTTTTTCGTGGATTAGCATCTCGAGGTCCTTTGATGGGCATAAAGAAATCGTCTTGGTAGCAACCGCCAAACCAATAGAACAAGGGTTAGCTCTGCAGCTAGTCCACAAGCAAGGTAAGTAGGTCCATTACCAGCCAGCTCCGGACCGAAAAGACCTAACGGACTGATCCCTTATCTCGGATCGGAGATGCTAACGGGGCAGGAATCGAAGTGGGGGACCTCTCTACCGCCTGTGTCTATCTCCTGTCAAGTATGCTCCCCAGACATAGACTAAATTTGAGGGAAAATAAATTTTCTAAAATTAATTCCTGAGCCTCCAAGGCCTAAAACCAATTTTATAAATTCAAACACACATTTAGATGAATTTTCCATCAATCTTCCAAATTTATTGAGGCCTCTAACTTTTTAAAATAATTATTTTTTTCATTTCCCCAATAATTTTATGAAAAACCTCTGTTTACAAGAAATTCCGTAATAATTCACTTTCACCGAAATTCCACCTTTTGGGCCTCAACCGAGTTTTCAAAACCTCTACTCTATACTTTTTTCATTTTTTGGGGATTTTCTGGATTTTTTCTCAAATTTTCCTATTTTGCCCTTCCCAAACCGATAATTACGAAAATGCCAGCCCGGACCTTTTCGCGGTTTCATATCAAAAGTTGTTTCATCTCCCTGTCTAGTTCCTACATTGACCCTCATCCCAATTTTTGATCCTTTATTGCCAAATGAAAATTTTTGGGATGTGACATTATGCGGCGCGTCTCTTGGGTTATTAAGTGGAAGAAGTAGATCTAAAAATTAGAGAAGACAAAGGGAAGGGGGCGTGTTTCTTTGCTCCATTGTTTATCAACTCCTTCATTATGAGGGATGATAGAGTCATGATTCAGTGAAGCAAGTGACGACGACATGCAATCACAGTGGAATAAATGGAAGCCTCAACTGTTAGGTTAGAAAATTAGATCTCTAATCACTGCTATTTAGGTTTGTGATTCTCAATACGTTTGATAGATTAAACTGTGGGATCATGATGAAGTGCATCCTTCAAGAAGACCTATGATTGTCTGGCTTGAAACCTCTTATTCTCTGTGGGACTTGTATGAAATTGATATGGGTTTGTCAAAAGAGAATATTGAGGGATGTGTATAAAGCTAGAATTTCTTCCTTACAATGTGGCCATCAAATTCATGCATTTCTGTCATAATTTCAAAACTATAATGCAAGATTTTTCATCACTTTTTTAGTGCTTATGCTACTTTAATCTCCATCTCTTTATGTAGTTGAGTCTTTGAGGAATTTAGTGGTCGTCACTGCTTTCAATCTCTTTGGAAGTTGCTATTATGGGTGTAAGCATATGTGAAGCTACATCTTCAACTTCTAATTGTGGTATTTTTATTATCAATATGGATAAATACGAGATAAAGGTTACTGTTATTTGGCATGTTTCTGTGGCTTTTAAGTGGATCAACTCTGTTATTTCCATGCCTAAATCTTTTCTTAGTAATCTTGTTGTGGGTCTGGGCATTTAATGGTCTCCTGAAAAAATATATCATCATCAACTTTGCAACTTTGCATTGGTCACAAGTGTTTAATCTATCATCATAGTCATTCATGCTCTCTACCCAAAATCCTTCAACTTTTTCTCTTAAACCCAAATTATACTTTGCGGGTTTCTAGAACCAATTAAATTGGGAAAAAATTGCAAATCTTACTGGCATAAATTGCAAATGTCAAAGGATCCTTTGGACATTTGGTGACTTATGAGTAATTGGGACAATAAATTCTTAAGCTTTGAATTGATATTTCAAGCCTCACTAGATGCTTATTTTGCGTTTGCCGTTAGGAGAAAATCTTATGCTTGGAAGCTATCTGGACAATCTTTTTCTGCTTCTCATCAAAGCACTACTTCAAAAGCATGTACTGTTCCTTGTTGGGTTAACGAAAGTTCTAGTGATTGCAAAAATAGAGTTTCAATGTAGTTTTCAGCACCAGAGTCATCATCATATTGAAAGGTCTCATCGAAGTGATGCTGGTAAACCTATGGTTTTTAGGCCTTCACAGAAAAAGTCTTATCATACTAAGGTGAAGCTAGTCTTATCAATTTGATTTTTCCAAGGTAAAGATAGATCAAGTTAAGGTGAAGAGAGCTGACCCCTTGATGATCATGATAGCTTGGCTAGTGAACCAAAACGGTGATTACTAGATAATCAAAGTCAAGTGGTTGTTTCTTCCTTACAATCATCTGCTTTCTATGGTCTCAAAACTCTTGTAGTTACGTTTCGATCTCTTCTTACTTGGCAAAAAAAAGAGATATATTGAACCAAGTTCGGCTTTTGATGTTATATCAAAGAAAGCTCATTTAATGTCTCACTCAACTTCTGTCAAAGAGGCTTAGGAAGCCGCCTGCTCAAAGCTTTCTCAGGAGCCATGAGGATCCTTAGTTGGAATTTTCAAGGCTTAAGAAAGCAACGGTAACTCAAAGATACAAGCAGTTGGTTAAATTGCACTCCCTTAATTTTATCTTCTTGGCTAAAGCAAAAATTTCTTTATCTAATGCTTGTAAGCCTCTAGTTGATATGGGTTATAATTATTACGAGGCTACATATGCAATTAAAAAAGGAGGAGGTACAATTATTGCGTGGAAATCTGCTTTTTATATTACCATTCTGGATGTCACTCCCTACTTCTGTCACTGCTTGCTTGATTTTATTGAAACAAGTTCTCTCTTCTATCTGTCTTTTGTATACAACCCTTTTTCTTCATCTTAAATATATTCTTACCTCTTAGATTAGCCTCACCTCTCAGAGTATTGTTGGACCATGGCTGATTATTAGATATTTTAATTAGATTTTCTCTTCATTTGATAAAATTAGCAGCTTTGTCTCTTCAAGTGCTTCTGACCATTTCCTTTAACGTATTGACTTGGCTCATCTTATTAATATTCAGCAACATGGACCTATTTTCACATTGACTAATAATAAGAAAGGGGAAACTAAAATCTTAGAAAGACTAGATACAACCTTCGCCAATCACTCTTGACTACAGTTTTTCCTATTTTCCTCAGTCAGTACTCTATCAATTGCAGCATCTAATCATAGTCCTATCTTCTTTTCAATTGATCAGGTGCACAAGAATAGTAGAATTAGAAGAATTGAATCCTATTGGAAGTTATTTAAAGAAAGTGAATTGATTATCCAACAGTGTTGATGTTAGCATGTTTCTGGGTCACTTAGCTTTAATCTGTATTGTAAGCTCCAGCACACTTTATCTGTATTATATAATTGGGGTCACTCTCAAGTTGGAAATTTCAACTGCAGAATAAATCTTGCTGAGACAAAAATACAGAGTCTTTCAACTAAGCTGGGATCCATGTGTCGTTTTCAAGGCAATCTAGACAATGAAATCTCTGAGGCCCAACATGAACTTGAATTTCTCTACGATTATCAAGCAAGCTATTGGGCTCAAAGAGCAAAGATCAAATGGAAAATTGAGGGAGAAAGAAACACAAAATAGATAATTCTTGGACAAGTGACCAGCAACAGATATCATAGATAGTCAACCAATATTTTTCCTCTATTTATCAAAGTTCAAGTAGCCTTTCTTTTTTGACCATTTTTGATGGATAATCTAACTTAAAAGTCCTAACCATTGAGGCCACAGCTGTGGGATCTTTGATGAGCCTTGCCACTATTGAGGAAGGCAAGACTGCAATCTTTAATCTCCCAAGAGGTAGTGCCCCAGGATCATATGGTTATCATGTTGATTTCTGCTAAGATCATTAGGATCTAGTTAAACAAGACCTTCTTAGCATCATTTTATCATTATGGGAATCAAGATAAAACTTTGATTATCTTGATACCTAATAGTAGCAAGTTGTAAACTCTCAAAGATCTTTGATCAATCAGCTTTTTCAATATCTTGTATAAAATTATAGTTAAGGTCTTATGCAATCACCTTGAAAAGCTACTGGATAAAATGCATTGCTCAAAATCAGTGTGCCCTCTTTAAAGGGCAGCTCAAATCAGATAACATTCTAATAGCAGCAGATGTCAAGCGTTAAGTGCACACGGCTAGAACATCAAAGAAAAATTTAGCAGCCTTAAAAGTTGATTTTTTAAAAGCTTTTGATAAATGCTCATTGCATTTCATCGTAGCACTTATGAAGCATATGAACTGTCCAGATAAATGGATCAATTTCAAATTCCAATGCATTTTAGTGGTCTAATACTAGGTCTTGTTTAATGGTGACAAAATAGGATTCATTCAGCCACTCAGCGGAATCAGACAAGGTGTTCCTTTATAGGAATTCATTTTCCTTCTAGATCGAGGAGATGTTTGGGAACGTGGACAGACCCAGGTCGTAATAAATCTCTCATTTACAACCGAGTCATTGAGGCAATTGAGAGACGAACCTTCGCTTGGAATGCCAAAGTATTATAGCAAGCATCAAGGCTATCCCTTATCAAATCTGTTTTGAGTGTAGTCAATGTACATGTCTTGCATTAAATTGTTTTAATATATCTGTGATTGTATATATAGCAGATGCATGGACTTTTTCTAGGGCGTAATAGGTGAAAAGAGATTAGCTCATCTACTTAAAAAAATATATCCTATTCCTCCCAGTTAATAAGGGTAGCCTTGGTATTAGATCACCTAATCTGGTGAATAAAGCTCTTTTGGCTAAGTAGGTTTGGAGGATCATCAACTCAAAGACTCCTTCTCTTTTGGCTTAAACACTCAAATTATATTGATTTATCTCTCTCATCCATTGTAAAGAAACCATATAACTCATCCTGGGTCTGGAAAGGAATATTGGAAAATGCAAAAATTATCACTCATAACTTGGAATGGAATGTGGGTTTACGATTAGATATTCCCCTAAACCACCATCTCTAGTGGCCTATGCAAGTAGGCTCAGCTTCCACTAAGGGCTTAACCAGAGTGGCTGACCTTATACTGCATAATCCTTTCAGTTGGAAGCCCGTCCATTGGACCTTACTCCTTATTTGATCCTTATATTCTTTCCACGTTATGGAGAATATTCTGCGAATCTATTGTCCTACTACAACGGCAAGATTTCCTCACTCAGAAGGGTAACTCAATAGGTTCTTACTCAGTTAAGGATGACTATAAGTTTCTTTTGCAATTTGTGTCTTCTACTGCTAGTTCAGTAGATGTTTTTTTAGCGCCTTTTATGGTCTATTTCTATACTTTTTAAATGCCTGCTCTTTATTTGGAAATTACTTCATCAAGCAATACCAACTACAGATGTACTTAAGGCACGTCATCTCAATTCTTTTGTTTCTTGTCCTTATAGTTGTGATGATGATGAAACTCTTGAGCATATTTTTATCTCATGTCCTTATGTCAAAGCAATTTGGTTTGGCAGTTTTTCAGTCAAATTTCAAGGACACCCTTTCTCATATTTTTTCAGTTGGCTGAAGTCTACCCTTCATGCTCTTTACTCAGATGGCCTTGATGATCTTATGCAAGGAATAATTATCCTTCTTAATGTCTTCTGGTGTAAAAGAAATATTTCTATTCATAATGGTGTCATTCAGCTGCCACATCAAGTCATTAGAGAAGTCCTTAGCATTCAATTTTTTTCATCTCTAGCTTTCTCTAGTGAGAAGACAAAAGCACAGCTTACTTCTTGCAGACCAAATGCTCTTCTTTGAAGAAGGATTGGTCCATTTTCCTTTATAAGAACAAAGTTTACAAGAAAATATACTGTCATATAATCACTTGTATTTAAGACAACCAGTATTGCACGTTTGCTGGAAAAAAAGAGATAACCAATCAATTCTTGCACACTTGTTTGTGTGTAGCTCTTTATTGGATGATTTGCAAAATGCATCTTCACGAGATTGTATAGGATTCCTTGGAAATCATTTGCATCAATAAGAGGAGCTTTAACCTATCAGCATCTCATATTGTCTAGTTTTTCTAGCGTTTCTTCCTCTTTAATATCTCTTTCCCTTTTTCATTCCATGTTTTCCAATTATGTAGGGTTGTATTATGAAGGAACTACATAAACTTATCTTCTTTTAATATCATTTTGAATTTCATAAGAAAATATAGTTATACAATTCAAATTATAATAATAAATTTTTTTTGAAAATATAATATAATTGAAATTAATTTATACG